TATTCATCTGAAGGTCCTGGATGAAGTACCCTGTGCCTTAAAAAGGAAGTTGAATTATACAGGAAATCAAGAACTGAACTTTCCTTTTGTACTTGTAGGTGTTTGTAGAGAGGGAAATGGTTTGTGCAGGCTATGGCATGCATTAATATCTTGATTATATAGCTGAAAATTGATTTTGGAACAGGAACTCTAGTAGGGTATATTTTAGATAATCACACAGTAGGTAAGAGTTGTTGCTGCACAGTAGGAATAAGTAAGTGTCACAACTGGATAGGTATATTAACACCAGCAGTTCAGGTCATGTGGATGATCAGGGAGTCTGAAGAAGGCTGTCAGCCCTTATGCTCTGGGTTTTTTTCTGGAAAGAGTTCCAAAGGCTGAGAGAGCACTTGGTACCCCTACACAGGACAGCTGTGTAAATAAAACCTTTCTTGCAAGTGATGAGCCTCAGTGCTACCAAGACTAGTCCATTTTCTAGGTAATGATGTGATTCCAGTTATGGTTTGGGGCTGGAATTCTGGTGTGTTTTTGTGTTGGAGTAGAAGTTGAGATCTGATCAGCAAACGAAGTCGAACTTTTGATAAGTCACTGATGATTACCATCTTTGCTGTAAATTATTATCTTTTTCTTATTATACCAAGTAGAGATCTTCATCTCTGGCTGTCTGTTAGAACAGGTGAAGGGTTGCTTAACAAGTTGACATTGCTGTGCTCTGTAAAGAAAGGGTTTTGTAATGAAATAGTTACTGTATTAAGCAGAGCGTCCCACATATCTTGGTGTATGTTTGTTCTGTTTTCAGTATTTTTAGTTTTTTTTGGGTGCAGCACTGATAGTAACTGGAAAATCAAAGAATTTTTAATTGTTTGGCACCACATCAAAAAGCATGTTCCTTTGTTCTAAGCTGTGCTGGGATGTACTCTTTTGTAGGTATTGAATTTGTATAATGAATAGCTTTTCTTCTATGTCTCCTTGGTTCATTCCGTTGAGGTGTATGTGCACGTGTGTGCATCTGTGCATCATGCTGGTGCCTGTTCTATCAGGGTAAGTTTGCTTGTCTTTGCTTAAAAGAGGGACTTAGGCTATTCTATAACATACCTTGGTACTGATAGTACATAATCTGGAAGAAGAAATGTGCAACTGTGAAGACAACTCTGCAGGCACACACTGAACACAGGCAGACTTGGAACTCCATGCTCAGCCTTGTGTCTCAGTGGAGAAGTCTCTCTTCCTAACTTGGATCCAGCAGAGGAGGGAGAAGGAGGGGTACAGATAGGCAGCAGAAGGGCTGGAACAGGGAGGACCTACATTCTGTCTCCCTCTTTGTATGAGGGGATACCTACTTTTCAAGAACTAGGAACACTTGTGTGATGGGAGTATGAAACTTGACCACTTTATGGTGACAAGCACTGTGTCCTGCTTTCAGTACCAAAACAACGGTGAAGAAGAATGTCCTGAAAAAAACCCACATGGTCAGATTTTAATCTTGGAAGATGCTCTGTTATCTGCCACATGGCCTTGTTGCAGGGAGGGAGGAAGGAAGTAAAAGGGTGAACGTGCCATCAGACATGCTGGAATATTGAATCATGCTTCAGCAATGTGCACATTGCTGCCTGCTAGTTCCCAAGCTGTTCTGTTAACATTTTGCATTTCATCAATTACACATTTTTAAGGTGGCAACCTCCAAAATGTTGTGAGGGAGTCAGATGTGAAGCAAATCCTTCAGAGATTCTTCTTGAGTTACTTGGGAAAGAAGCAAATGTTGCAGATGTCTCTTACTCATCTTTTTTTCTGGCCTATTTTGTTGGTTTTCATGTTCTGCCTGTCTCTCCTGCTGACTTTGCAGGGAGGAAAGTTTAAGGTTTGGCACTAGCAGGAAGCTGATGTGGCGTGAAAAGAAAACACGGTGTACTGCTTGCATTGTAAGAGAAACACTGTTATCAGCTCCTCCTCCAGCATTGTTCAGCCCCTGTTTGTCCAAATTTCTGCGTGGGAGAAGAGTCAGGCTTTCCTGTCTTCATGGTGATGCTCATGGTCAGTCTTAAAACAGATGTGGGCCCAGCAGCTGGTCCCAGCACCCATGGGTCGTCACTGCCTCCTAAGGAACAGGATGAATTGTGTCCATAGCCCAGGGAATGGATTAGGTTTAAAAATCCATGGGTTTATTTTACTCTTCCCACCAGCGTATTATTAATTTAATTGTTCTTTGCTTTCTGAAGAATTTCAGAGGGGGCAGGGAGGGGGTGGAAAGATCTATTTTAAACTGCCGCCTGCTTTAATTTGTGTTCGTGATGCATTTTTACCAGCAGCACTTTGCGATCCAAATGCCACTTCTAAATGTCATTTACTTGAATAAAAAATGTAATTACATTTCTAAGTGTGACATAAGCACTGAAAGTAGTAACTGAATCACAAAGTTCTGCAGCTTTCCCATGACAGAAGGGAAAGTTTATGAAGTCCAGGGTATGCTGTGATACAAGTGTAGCAAAAATACTCACTTGTTTGCACACTTTCCTGTTTACCATTAGGCTTTTTATTAGGGAAATACCTATTTATAAAACCCCTGTATTAAATAAAAATGGATGAATGATACTTGTTTATCTCATGTTCTCTGACATCAGTTTGTGTTTTTGATGGAAATCAGAAAGCCAGTGCTTCCCAACACTCCTTGAAGAGCAGTTGGTCATGCACCTGTTAACCATATGCATTGAAAGGGGACTTGTTGAATGCCCCTAAGGGGTTTTTTCAGGATTAATACCATCAAAAGCTTTTTCAAAAGATTGCTGGATTCAGTTTACAAGCTGATGCAGACCTCTCATCTTTCTGCCTGTAAAAGGGTTCAAGGAAGAAGTTTTGCATTCACATGTATTTCTGGTACTCCATAAAGCAAAGTTTGTCATTTTAACAGATGGACCAGATCTTGCTTTTCATAGACTCAGTTTGTTCAAAAGTGGGAGTGGACCATACAGTCATTTTCAGTAGTGAAATGAAAGTCTGCTGCATCTTCCTCTTGATACTGTATGTTTAAATTGGAGTTAACAAATTTAATTTCAGTCATCGCTGGTTTGCATACAACAGTGTAAATCCAGAATACCCACTGATCCCTGGACTGAACAATGTCTGTAAATGATCAAGTTCCTAGTTGGCAGAAGATTCAGTTATTCACTGTCCACTGATGCCTTTATCCTAAAGAACATGGGAAAAAACCTATGATGGCTTGATTCTGCTGGGACTGTCATCTGTTACTAATTCTCAGTTGTTCTTTAGGTAGAAATTTATGTGCTTATTGAGTATGTGCCTATCAGTGTCCCTCAGC